GGGGGGGGGGGGGGGGGGGGGGGGTGTCGAAGGATTTTTTACCTGCATATAGGTGACAGAATAATGGTGTGGTTGGGTTGGAGAATTGGAGAAAGGCCAGACAAACTCGATTTTGGGTGCGGGAGCTAGGGGTGTTTCCCAAAACAATTTCAATCTAGAGGTGATAAGTTCTGGCGAAGATTTGTTTTGCTCAACCACTCACAAAAACTGTTTCAAAACATGTAACTGGGAATCATGGATATTCAATATATAACAACCTTAAAGTCCGTATGTAAACAAACGGTTTTTTACATTTTGAACTGCTGTATTTTTTAAAATATGATGTACTGTCTGAATATCTAGCACCATTTTGGTTCTCTATGCTTCTAAATGAATATGAAATAGAGTTTGTGGTCAGAAAAATTCGAAACATTCAAAATTTGGGCAATGTTTACATTAGAGGGTCCTCACATTGTTATGGGCAGAACGCATGCGCAGAACGGACTTGACTTCCACTTTAAAATTGCATTTGAGGCAGCAAAGAATATTAGGTTCTCCCACCCTAATCTCTTTTGGGGAGCATCGCTCGCCCCAATTTTACCTTCTTTTCCATTACCCCAGCACATAAGTGATTTGTGAGGAAAATAGGAGGGTCTGGAGTTTTTCCCAGAAATCGTTTATATTTTTGATGCTCAATTAATTAATGACGGCATTTCTGGAATTTTCTGCAGCATCCACAAGGGTAACGAGTAAATGAGAAGACTGTTTTAAGTCTATTTTTGTTAGCTTGGTGACTGCACATTTGTGTTTTAAGAACTGCACAAATAGGTTTAGAACTGCACATTTTGTGTAGAACTGCACGTTAAATAAACCCTGTTTTCTGAAGCGAATTTGGTTGGAAATTGCTGTAATCTTAGGATTTATTAGAAACAACGTACTATCCTTCTTATTTCCTTCCTGACTACAAAATTGCTTGCATTTGCTTGTAAATTTTATTTCTTTTTGCCAGTAAATTTCCTTGCAAATGGAAGCGCTGCATGTGATGACGCAATTCCGGGAAGCTTTGTGCGTGTCGAAGGAAGACTAGGCACCAGCCTGTTAAACCGCGCTCATCGTGAGAAATTTCGTTTGTATGTTACTCGAACCTTCACAAACACTGTATTAGTCGAAGCCTTCCCCCTTCCCTCGCATACCCCCTCCCCCTTCCGTTATTAATGACCGGTCCCTTATCTGCATGTGTAAAATGTAAAATATTTTATAGACTATTTTATTTCATTCTGCAAAGTAGGAGAATTCAGTATGATTTAGATAGACTGTTTTGTACCTATTTGCAACTGAATGGTATTAAATTCGGTAAATGTAAAATAGGATTAAAATAGTGTACTTTATTCTATTTTTCAAGTCAGGGAAAGAAAATCGGTTTAAAATAGTATATTGCAATCCTATTTGAAAAACGTAGTATTTTTTAAAATGTCAATTAGGTTTAAAATATAGTCTATATTCTGTTTTGCTAGCTAAGAAAGAAAGGATTAAAATATTATATTTTATTCTTGTTTGAAATTTGTGCATTTTATACCCTGCAATGTAAAATAGAATTTAAACAGCCTATTTTTAAAATTTTTTAGAGTTTAAAAATAGTATATTTTAATCGTATTTTAATTTCTAACTGCTTTTTAGTGAAGTAAAATAGAATTTAAATACACGATTTTAAATCTATTTTTTGACTTTGGAAAAGGAAAATGGTATTATTCCAAAGGAAATTAAAGATAGCAAATCCCTTTCTTCATTTCGGACGAAAATCGCTGCTCACATTGATAATTAAAGCAAATACATGCATCTGTAAATACATTATTATCTCATATACTTAATATATTTTACACTATGCTTTCTACTTTGTAAATAGCTTTTAAATACTTTTCATATTTGCTGTATACTTCTTGTTCACACGCCCCTCGTGGAAATCAGCTGTAGTTGACGAGGTTCGCGTGGTTAAATAAATCTATCTATCTATCTATCTATTAAAATAAGCGAATTTATATATTTATATTATTTATAAAAACAGAAATAAAATAAAGTAAAACATTAAAAAAATATGGCTCTCTGTTTTAGTAAAATGTTATGATAGAATTCAAATAGGGTTGCTTCTTGATAAAATAGCATAAAAATAGGCGTGATAGTAATAAAATAGTTTGAAAATGGCAATATAATATATATATATATATATTAGGATTTCTTAACGGGAAGTGCTGACGTATATGGTATTTTCGCACGCGCTAATTTGTTTTCACAAAACGAACGAGCGAGTGCAAGGAGCGAGTGAGTTTTGCGAAAACAAATTAACAAGTGCGAAAATACAATAAAAAAGCACTTCTCATTTGAAATTTGTTTATTTTATAGATACTGATATTTTCTATTAAATGGATTGCCTTTATTTAACGTAATTTGGTGCATTCAAAAGTCGAAGGCCATGCAAAGTCAAGATAAAGCACTGCAAAGTGCAAACAAAACTTTATTTCGGCATTGAATACATTTTTTAAATCACTTGTAAAGGAAAATTATACTTTACTCTCAAACTAAATTTGACATTAATATATAGTCAACAAGGCCTGGAATACTACAACAAACAATATTTTTTCGTTTAAATGAGAGAAAAATAAAAATAATTCGTTTCAAAAACTAAATATAATGCAACTTACATTCGCTGTTGTTTTCTTGCAACTGGAATGATATTTTTTGTCTCTTTCGTATTCCCTTTCAAAAAATGGATTCATATTTGACTTTTATAGTAGATAGAAACTTTATTTATACACGCTGACCCCGTCAACCGAAGCTGATTTCCACGGGGGGCGTGTGCAAAAATAGAAAAATGTTACATGGAGATATTAAAATACTTAAGTTTAAAAAGGTAGAATATGAAATTATTTACATGATAAGAAGGTTATTAGAATATTTACAGTTACATCAATTTACTCTATGTCAATTTTGTGAGCAGCAATTTTATTTCTAAAGGATGAAAGAGTTTTGCTTTCCCTAATTTCCTTTGGAATAGAATTCCAAAGGTGTGCTCCGTCATACATGAAACTATTTTTCATGTTGTTAGTACGCGGTTTTGGTAAACTAAGACCACTTGAAATGTCACGAAGGTTGTAGTTTGTTTTCTCACATTTGTATGAAAAAAGATTGGTGAGTGATTTAGGACCCATTTTATTTAATACTTTGTACATCATTTTTGCCTTAGCTTTCTTCCTTTCAGTTTTGAGTGGCTCCCAGCCCAATGCACGTAGAGCAATGGAATGATTTACGTCATTACTCATGTTCAAGATAATTCTAGCAGCTCTATTTTGAAGTTTTTGGAGTCGTTTTGATTGTGATTCACCAAACACATCCCATACTTCACAACAGTAATCAAAGTATGGGCGGACAATAGCATTATATATCGAAATGAGTGTATTTTTGTCAACGAAAGGTTTGACTCGGCGAATAGCAGAGATTCCTGCAGTTATTTTTTTGCATATATTTTCGGAATTACTTTTCCAAGACAAATGCTGGTCAACTATTACTCCAAGAGTTTTGCATTCGCTAACTTGTTTAATTTGCTTATTTTCAATGAAAACATTTAAATGTGAATCAGAATTTTTTTTAATCATTGCGTTTGAACCAATTAACATAAATTCTGTCTTAGCTACATTTAGACTAAGTTTATTGGCAATTAACCATTTTCTGAGGTTTTCCAAATCAGAATTTACTGCAGTTTCAAGGTCAATTATAGAATCTCCCGATGCTGTCAGATTTGTGTCGTCAGCAAACAATCGAGGTTTTGTTTTGTTTAGACACTGAGGTAAATCATTTATATATAGCAGAAAGAATAGTGGTCCTAAGATAGAGCCTTGTGGTACACCGCATTTAATCAATCGCTCTGTAGAAAAGGAATTCTTAATTTGGCACTTCTGGTTTCTGTTTGTGAGATAAGATTTGAGCAAAGTTAGAGCTTCTCCTTTTATTCCATAAAGTTCTAACTTCCTCAATAGAATTTGATGATCAACAGTATCAAATGCTTTTTTTTAGATCAATTAGGACTACTAGGTTAAACATTTTTCTGTCTAGATTCATATACCAATCATTGGTACAGTCCAGTAATGCAGTTGCTGTAGAATGAGATTTTCGAAAACCGAATTGAGAATCGCTAAGGAGTTCAAATTTTGTTAAATAGTTATACAGTGGATCATACATAATTCGCTCCATAATTTTGCTAATCGCAGGTAAAACTGATATTGGTCTATAGTTTCCTGGAATATTCCGTTGGCCATTTTTATACAAAGGTTAATTTACTCTTGCCATTTTCCATTCATTAGGAAAGGAGGATAGAGTTATAGCCTGATTGAAAATAAACGTCAATGAGTCTGAAATAGCTGGTGCAGCTATCTTAATAATTTTACAAGAAATTTTATCAATGCCAGTGGCTTTATTGCTGGAAAGCCCATGCAAGAGACGACAGACATGACTGACAGTAACAGGCTGGAATGCTGCAAATTCTGATTCAGCAGTTTTAGTATATGTTTCAAAATTATAATTTGAAGTATCAATTTTGCTAGCTAAATCAGGCCCAATATTTGAAAAGTAATCATTAAAGCCCTCTGCAATATCTTTGGGAGTTGTAAAAATTTTTCCCCCTAGATTAATCTCATTCACCACTGTTGGTTTGTTTTGCCTACCTAATAAGTTGTTTATACTTTTCCAAGCTTTTTTAGGATTGAATTTTTGACCAGCTATTTTTGAGGAATAGTAATCTTTTTTGGCATTCCTTAGTTCTATGTTTACTTTGTTTCTAGACGTTTTATAATCAAACCAATCATTTTCTAGGTTTGTTGAAATGGCTTTTCTTTTTAATTTGTCCCTTGTATTAATAAGTTTCTTTATATCACTTGTAATCCATGGGACTTTTTTAGACCTGATTTTTTTGCATTGAAGTGGTGCATGCTTATCTAGGACGTCTACGAATATTTTTTTCCAAATCTCCCACATATCATTTGGGTCTTCAGCAAAAAAATACACTTGTCCCCAGTGCTGTTTGAGCAGTTCCGCAACAAATTTTGCTTCATTAAAATTTTTCATGTTTCTCATCTCAACTATATTCTCTTGTTTCTTTATAAAAGAAATTTTCCTGATAGCAAATATCAAACTATGATCACTTATACCTGTGTGAATGACACCAGAATCAGAAATTTTTTCTGGTGTATTAGTAACCATATGATCAATTAGACTAGTAGTTGTCATAGTTACTCGAGTAGCTTCATCTATCAGTTGTGATAACTGATATAATTCATACAAAGACTTTATTTTCTTTGTTGGTATGTTATAATCTTTATCTGGTCTTAGCAAATCACAGTTTAGATCACCCAGTGTTATAAATCTCTTGCAAACATACGAGTTAAATTGTCCAATTGAAATTAAAAATTGACTTTAAACAGCAAGAAAAAAGGCAGCAAACACGGGTTAGTGCTGATTGGACAAAACGTTTTTCGCACGTGTGAAATAATCGTTTCGCGTTTCTGATTGGTTGACGTTAATCTTGAAAGACCTTTTCACATTAATAAAACCGTGCGTAAATATTGTATCTATATAATAAAGTTATTTTCGCAAGGGAGATTATGTGCAAAATCAAAATTTTATATATTTATTATTTAGGAAAAACTGAATGCCAAGATGATATTAGTTCAAATGATAAGTCATATAATGGACGATCAATATTCTATCCAGCAGTATTGAGTGGAAATAAAGAGGTCATCGAATATCTTCAAGGTCACGTGCACAATTCGACAGAATTGTTATCGAAGGAAATGAAGAATGACAACTGCAGGACGTTTGAAGAGTGTATTGTGAGGAATAATTTGACAGACTTGCTGAATTTTTTGCTAAAACTTAAGGACACTTCTCCAGAAAATCAATTGCCAGAATCTGTCATTCTGGGAATATGTATGAGGTATGTTGTTTGATACTTTCGACTCCATACGCAAGTGACTAAAAAGTTTTGATTTGAAAGGTTTTGTAGATGGAGATTTTAATGGAATATATATATATATATATATATATATATATATATATATATATATATATATATATATATATATATATATATATATATATATATATATATATACATATATATACCGGGTGTCCCAAAAAAAGTACTCCGGTTTGATTTATAATAACTTCTAAACAAGTAAAGCTGTCAAACAGAAATAACTTGCATTAGATAGAGGAAGGGCTAACTTAGATTTTGATATATTAGAGTTGTATTTTACTTAACAATTCATGGAGATATTAATGTTCAAAATCGGGAGCATATTTTGGGATGTGTCTAAAATTAGCGAAAATCGACATATCAAATATTAACTCCATGTAGGCATGTATATATATATATATATATATATATATATATATATATATATATATATATATATATATATATATATATATATATATATATATATATATATATATATATATATATATATATATATATATATATATATATATATGTGTATATATATATGTATATAGGGTGTATCAAAATAAACGCAATTCATCTTTTGTGCTTAATAACTTTCGAAATACTATTTCTAGTTAAACGCTTTTAGGATTACTTCAAAGCCTGTTCTTTTCTCTTTCAAACAAACTATTATCCTTGTCTCCAATGCTAGTAATAATTGCACAGGAAAAGATTTAGTAAAACCTATCATTTTAGTTGCTGTTTAATTATGCAAGTTTACTATGTTATTGTTTAGTCGGTTTAAATGTTAGAATTTTCTTCTTTAAACTTTAATGTTGTCGTCACTATATCTGGAAAACCACGTAAGAACAAATTAAAAGTATTTTAAAAGAGACCAGGTTGTTTGAAAATCCTAAACGAATGCTAAAAATCGTCAAACATTCTGGTGTCTGAGCCAGAGTGTCATCGAATTGCGATGTAATGTAAACAGAAATTATAGCAAGTTGATGTCAGTCAGCTTAGATGGTCCAAGCCAAAATTATATCGCATTTGAAGTTTAAAACTGAGTTAAAAATAGTGAAAGAAAAGCCGTAATTATACTTATTGTTACAATCCATTTAATAAAATGCAACATTTTTTGTTTTAATGAAAAAATCAGTTATTTTCATGAGAACGATTTGTTATTCCATCTCAATTTTTTTAATCTCCAATCGCAATAACTTAAAGTATTATTAGCCGCGAACCAATGAGTCAAATTTTAAGAAACAAACCCACCGTTAGAAAGCTGAATGGCTACGCTTTAAAATGAATGTAAACTCTAACGTTTTCGTCTATTATTTGTTTAGCAATTTACATTTCAGTCGAGGATTGCGCTTTTTTTGATACACTCTCTATATATATATATATATATATATATATATATATATATATATATATATATATATATATATATATATATATATATATATATATATATATATATATATATACAGTCGAACCCCTATTAATTTTCGGGACCTCGCCAAAGTGTCCGCTTAAAAGGGTATGTAGAAAAACACAGCAGGAGGCAAAGGTGTGTAATTAGGTGTGTAATTTGAGTATCAAAACAGTAAAAAATATCTAGCAAATAATTAGCCGATAAAATGAAAATTTCTTTGTGCATAAAAGTTCATTCAAACACTCATTAATAATTCATAAACTTATTGGCAAATCATGTTAACCATAATATGTCACGTGCAGTGGCTTTAAACCTGATAAAACACTACTAATTAGTATTCTTTATATAAAGAATACTAATAAGGCAGTATCTATTGTAGTCGTGTCCTCATTAGTATTTTTTATACAAAGAGGGGCGTCACACAATAACTATTTACAAATTAGAGAGTATACACATTAAACTATATACAAGTTAAACTATATAGAAAAAACAAGGAAGCAAAGGATAATAGAAAAGGAATTATATAAAAACTTAACAATTGGTGCGATCCAAAGGAGGTGTTCATGCCTGACATACTTTTCTTTTAAAAGAGAAAGGGTTTCAGAATTTTCTGAATCCTCAGAAAGATGATTCCATTGCATGGCACCACTATATCGAAAAGTTTTCTTTAAAAATTCACTATTAGGCTTAGGTAAGCACAGATCTGTATCGCTACTACGCAAATGATAATTAGATTGGATTGTATTTCTTTTGCAAAACACTCGTTTAGATTAGGGACAGTGTGATTATTAAGTATTTTGTATATCATTATTAATTTATTTTCTAAACGTTTCACATCACGTGTTTGCCAACCGAGAGCATCCAAAACATCAGTAGACCTAATATCATAACTGGCTCCAGTAATCACTCTAGCTGCACGGGATTGAAATTTTTGTAGTTTATCTTGAAGTGTTTTTCCACAGGTATGCCACAGAGGGGAACACTAATCAAAGTAGGGTTGAGTTAATGCTTTGTAAATTGTTTGCAGAGTTGCAGGTGGGACAAAGGGCTTTATACGCTTCGTGGCCCCAATTCCGGCACTGACTTTAGAACATTTCGAATCGATGTGTGCATCCCAAGTTAATTTTTCGTCAATGTCCATCCCTAAACATGTATATTTGCTATTTCGAGGGACTGGGGTATTATTCATCAATATTGGTGTATTTCCAATTTTATTGATGAGGTTATAAGATGAAGCAATAAACATGACTCTTGTTTTGGTGGGACGATGTTGAAGATTATTTTTTATAAGCCACCTCTGAATATTATTTAGATCATCATTTTAATTTTGAGCTAATGTCTCAAAATCATATGAGGAAGACTAAATTTCAGTATCATCTGCATAGAGATACGGAGTTGTTTTTTACAAGTGATCTGGCATGTCGTTTACATAAAGTAAAAATAACAATGGTCCTAGAGTTGAACCCTGGGGGACACCGCATCTTATTTTCTTCGGTAAGGATGTGTGGCCATTTACCAAGCAAACTTGCTCTCTATTCGTTAGGTAGGACTCAAACCACTTCAGTTCAATATCATGTGTTCCAAATTGATTTTTTAGCTTTCTCCATAAAATCTTATGGTTATTAGAATCAAACGCTTTACCAATATCCAGAAATACTACTCCATTTATTTTGCCTTTATCCATATCACTTAGCCACTGGTCACACATCTGAATAAGCGCGCCCACAGTTCTATGTTTTGGTCTAAATCCTGGTTGAGATTTTGATAATAGCGAGTTTCATTCAGATATTTATGTATTTGAGTAAACAATTCTCTTTCGAATACTTTGCTTATAATGGGTAGAATCGAATCGGTAATTTTCAAACTTTTTTCGGTCTTCTGATTTATAAATCGGAGATACTAGCTCGAGCTAATTTCCAGTCGTTTATGTAAATACCAGTGCTAAGAGACTGTTTGAATATAACGGTCAACGATGGAGCGATGATGTGTGATGCCGCGTTAAGAACTTTTGCCGGTATGTTATCAACACCGGTTGCTTTAGAAGCTTTAAGATTTTGAAGACGCGAGGCAACATTACTCACACTGATATCGGAAAAATAAAAACGAGTCCCAGGACAATTTTGGTGGAAATTTGGGTCATCACCCAAATTACTATAGAGTTAATCAGACTCAGCTGCTAAGTTTATTCCTATATTCGTAAAAAAAAACATTCAAAGATTCGGCAATAACTTTATCATCAGAAACAATTGTATCATTAATTAAAAGCTCTTTAACACTCGGCGATTTACGTTTTTGTCCCGAAATGGCATTTATCAAGGACCAGCTTATTTAGCATTTCTAGAAAGTGTACAATGCTCAATTTTCTCATAAAAATATTTTGACTTTGCCTTACTGTTCTCGATGTTCACGTTATGGCGCTCAGATTTACATAAAAACCATTGTGACTGAGAATCGTGTTGTATTTTTTTTGTGGAAATCCATGGTATGTAATCCATGGTATGGCGCGGTTCTGTCTCAACCTCTTCTGCCGTAGAGGTGCATGTCTATCAAGAGCTTCAAGAAAGAACGATTTCCACACCTGCCAGGATGGGTTTGGACTGGCAAATTGATTTATAGAATCCCAAGGTAGTTGGGAAATATTATGAATAAAGTCGTTTTGAACAAAATTTTTAAAATCTCTAACTTTTCTAACCATGGGTGACGTTTTTCCCGAGTTTGGTGACGTAAGTTTTCTAATAGCAAAAATCAGACTATGATCACATATCCCAAGGTGAACAACACCAGACTGGGATATATTTTCTGGTTTGTTAGTTAAAATTAAATCAATTAAAGAAGCTGATGTTGGCGTAACTCTTCTTGGTGGCTCATTGATAAGTTGGCCAAAGCATTGATAAGTTGATCCGAGCATTACCCGGAGCGTTTTTAGAATAACATCTAACTAAATTTTCTTTGCAAATTCTTATTACAGAGTATTATCCAAACATTTTATCTTTGTGTTCTCGTTTTTAATATAATGTTAGTGAAACTACTAGAAGAGAGCTAGCAGTCTACAGTCCCTCACGTAACGAGGCTTAGCCTCCCCCCAAAATTGTCAGATCTAGAGTTGGAAACCATAATACAATACATACTCTCATCTGTAGTGTTATTTTCCTTCCCCCTAACCCCTCCCCGACTCCAAATAAACCAGCCTTTCGCTGCCGACGAATGCAGTCATCTACGACTCAATTTTGTGATACTTTTTGAAACTATCTAAATACATCGCCAGCTCTCACTAAAGTATATTAGAGAAAAATAACGTTCTTTACGTATCTTTCCAAATATTGAATAATTTGCCTTTTTAAATGTTTGTCTTCTTTGAATACTCGAAATATTATCAGATTGTTTAAATAGGCATTAGCCAAACGTTTCTGAGCATTCGAGCCAAACAAAAACAAGAACCTGCATGTCTTCTATAATTAATTAATTTGATCTCTTTAGAGCTGTGGAGCTAAATAATCAAGATATCGTTTCAATAATTTTGGAATCACAGTATGGCCGTGAAGCATTACAATTTACGGATACTTCGGGAAGAACTGTTTTACATCATGGATCGAAATATCCTAAACTCGTGAAATATCTGTTGGAGTCAGCTGAACAAATATTGGATAAGGTAAATACCGGCTTTTTGCCAATTGCGTCATGAGAAGTCGAAAAATCTGGGAGCGGATTCCACGGTATAAAAAGCCGTATTGCCCTCGTCTGAACAGGTTTTCCCTGGTTAGGATGGAACAAAAATCCGACTTTTTTGCGTACTCGCAAAGCACACTCTTGACTGGCTGACTAAAATATAGCTAAATGTTATGAATACTTGCTAAACAATAACTCAATAAACTTCGAAATTCCTGGTTATAGCGATGGAGAGTTAAAGATCGAAATATGTTGTTTAGGCATTATTTCTTCACTTATTCCGCCTTTTCTAACAACTTTTATTCGGCATATTTTTTATAACAGCTTTCTTGTTTGTGGCAGATAAAAATTTAGTCAGTTACAAAACTTAATTGACAAGTTTTCTTTGTTTGTTACATGTTAAACAAGGGGGAATTTCGTTCTCGACCAAACAGCGCTTTTGTTTACATTTTTACTCTAAGCCAATCAGAATGCGTAAGACGCGTCATGATATGAAATTTGTAAACAAACACTTGGGAATCATTTGGGGTCACTTCAGAGCTTTGCTGCAAGCGTTTTTTGCTTTTTTCCATGAAATTAATATATGTTGTTCTTAATAGAATTTTCCTCAACATGCTTGTGGGGATTTTTTATTAATTGCGTGATTGTAAAGATATGGGTCATGAAACTTTGTCTTTCGCAAGCTTAATTTATTAAATACTTCCCCTCGAATTTGTAGGCTCCGAACGGATTAGCGCGTTTAAAAGTCTTTGGAATAGAGGTTTGAGAGGTTTTAATTTTTAAAAGATACTTTTACCTTCATATTTTATTAATATCTTGTGTAACAAGAATAGTATCAGTTTGAGAGTCCGGGCTCAAATTTGATTTTTCGAACCTCCACCAGGACGACTTCCGGAATTCCGACCTTGGTAGGATCCTCAAAATTTCAAGATCAGTGACCTTAAAATTTCTGAACCTCTGCCAGAAAGACATATTTTACATTCAACCCTTCTGCGGATTTTTCAGAACCTCTGTGGGAAGAATGCTTCGTCGCTTTTCCGATTTTTCGACTTCTATTTTTGGGAATTGTACCTCTACGATTTCCGAATCGATTCCGAGCGACCACCGTTCCGAAAACTGTCGTGGGACAACTGTTGCTGCGCTTGTTCTAGATTTTGGAATCCAGAGATCTTTGTGTTTTAGGGTTCTTGATCTCCGTTTTACTCTGGCAAAGGTGTCTTCTTTGTCCTTCAAGATGATTCTTTTTCGTCTACGCAGGATAATCCGACTTTGTTGATGTTTGCAGTAAACACGTCATGCTTCCGACTTTTGAATTTCTTTTGGGTTACATTCTTTGGTTCTTCCGTTGTTAAACAGTTCACGTAATCCCAGAAGCTTGTGTTTTTGTTTTTTTACCGCTCTTGATTTTACGCCTTTTGCTTTCTTTTCCTTATCTTCACATTCTGTTGGGAAGGCATACAGTTTTGACAGTAGGGTACAGCTGTGCGTGATTTGTTTCCCACCCATTTCATCCTTAAACAGTCCAAGCATTTTTTGTTAGCCTTTGCATTGTCACCACTACCTAGCCCGCTATGATGATCTTTATCGTAATTACTGAGATCGAATTGGTCTTTGTGATCTTTTACCTCACTGTTTTTGATATCTTCATAAAAGTCATCTGTTTTTATCTCCATCATGAAGCTGTCTGCGCTGGTCATTGTTAGATTAGTCTTGATTGATCGCCAGGCCACATTGGTTTTACGTAGTCGTACTAAAACTCATACATTTTTAGTTTGAGTAACTCTAAAATGCTCATACCAAGGTAGATGGGTTTATCCAACTTCACCATACTTTTCCTAATGTCTACAGCTACCAAGATTTCGGTGAAGATGGTTGACGACTTAAAGTTCAGTTTTTTCAATAGTTTCTTCATCTGCTCTTCGGATGTTACTAACCGTATGTCTACACGTTTTTAGACATTTTCCATAATTTCACGAAATAGTTAATTATTCATCCCTTTGAATAAGTTCTTTTCCAAATCTGTTATTGCCGCTTTTCTTAATCTTGTGTTAAGTTCAATGTAGTCTTTCTTTGGTTCTGGTAGTTGTGATATCCCTCGGCTCCGTCTTAATACGGTTCTCCAGCACAATTCTTTCCGGTGCCATGGGATAGTCGTTGTGATCGTCATTTAGTTCTTCGGGGTCATGAACAGGTCCGAACAACTAAAGTTTTAGGACGTTTGGTTAGCGCCCTTTTATTTATTAGTAAAAAGTTTTAAATAGTTGTTATGTTGATTCTACGGTTACCACAGGATAACGCTTTGTTTACCCATCATCATTATCATTATCATCATCAGAAAACTGAAAAGGAGGGTTTCGTCGTTGCTATAACAATAAGTTTTTCAACCCTTTTCAACATTTTGGGGAAAAGAAAGCATTAGCGAAGTCTAAAGTTCATCAGCGATCGCGGGCGTGGGTGACCAACGATGGGTGGTCATCCTCACTGATCTCAAAAATATGGCGGACTGTCATGAATAGCGAACACTGATTGGTCAAATTTAAAATTTACATTATAATGACTGCATAACGACAGCGAAATGGCAAACACTTCTTGCTTTGATGATTTATTGCAAATATATTTCAATTTTGCAAGATTTTGTGAATTTCAAAAGCTTTTTAAGAAAAAAGGGCGAAAGAATCGGCTAAAACAAGGGAGCAAAGGCGCCGACGTTGACGAAGGTAAGTTCGTTTTAAATATTAATGTATCGTTTGCTTTATAATTGCCTTAAAAGCCGATCGTATAAACGTTGCGTATAAACGAAACAAGATGGCATATAATTTCAGTGTATACTTTATTGACTACCATTTTTTTATTATATTAATTTTTTTAAATAAAAAAGAAAGCAAATTTATTTGCATGCGAGAATTTGAAATCATTTTATTCCAAACTCAAAGTTTATCGATAAAGCCAAAAGGCAGTTTAATTAGTTTTATAAAGAACACTTTAAAACGTTTTGCGAAGCGTTTGTGGTTGAATTTTAACTTAAATGAAGCTTATATTACGTATAATGAAAACTTTATTAAATGGATATTTAGCTTATATATACAATTGCAAATCTCACTTATATCAGGTAATTTACAACTGGCTACTGTACTTAAATCTCTGATTAAATATGCAAAAATTATACTATTAAGATAACAAAATGACAGTACAACGTTTAAACACTTAACAGTTCCGGATTCATCCATTGCTTGTTTCGACAACAAAATAGGGAGGTTAAGATACCCCGGTTTCGGTGTACGTGTACGGGTAGCATGATTTTGGTTAGCAATATTTTCGTCGATGTCTGTACCTTTACTCGTAATTAAGGTGCACATTTTTCGCATTATATTATTGTCTATTGTAAGAAAACAGAAAAAGTTTGATCAAATTACAGACATCAGTAAAACAAGATGACACTACTCGTACCAGTACACCGAAACCGGGGTATCTTAACCTCTCTAATATATAATACGTTGTTCGGATTGCAATCGTCGTCATTCTTCTAATACAGTAATTCTGATGTTGCTTTTGAAAACAAAAATCATTAAGCATTTCTATGAAAGTAGAACATTCTTTACTGAAAACACCAATGTATCACAGTTTCGAATTTCTTCAGGTAAGGAATTGAACACTCGAGCTGCTTCATCTTGGAAGGTTCCAGAGATAATAGCGATTACTAGACGATTGGCACATGATGATCGTAATGGTCTTATAGGAATATATTATTCCTCTAATTTTAAGTATGAAGGCCAGTCATCACAATTCATTGATTTGTATGCTAATTTGGAAAGATGATAATTCCTATGTTCCAAAATTGGAAGCCAACCGAGAGACATGACATCAGTGAATCTAGCGTACCTATTAAATGCAAAGCCAGCAGCAGCGAACTTCACTCGTTGTAAGCGCTTTAATAGGTATTCTGGTACTGGACTAGACACGACATCGTTGTAATCAATTTTTGATAGCACCAGACTCTCCGCGAGTTGCTTCCGAATTTTAAATGGCGCCAAATGTTTCAATTTTCTCATTACGGATAATGTCGCGTAACAACTTGAGATCTTTTTGTTTACATCATCATTTAATTTAAATTTTGATGCAATGTAGTACCAAGAAGAGCCGCACATTTAGTTCTTTTAAGTTCAATGCCATTAGCATGAAGATGAACAGAACGATCTTCATCAAGTTGGTGCACACGAGAGAGTTGACTCGTCGAGAAAAGCATGACTTTTGTCTTATTGGTGTTAAGAACAAGGTTATTAGAACTAGACCAAGTGGAAAGTTTATCTAGATTGGATTGAATTTTCTCTTCACATGACTTTATGTCAGCTGGCTTACAATGTGCATAGATGGTAGTGTCATCGGCATACTGATGTGAAGATATAGAGTCGTCAAGGTTTTCAGAGAGATCATTGACATATAGGTTGAAGAGGACAGGACCAAGTATAGACCCTTGTGGAAATCCGGAACAAACGTTAGTTGTGTTTGACACTACGTCGTCTATTTGAACAAACTGTCGTCGGCCAGTCAGATAGCTTGTGACCCATTTGAGATACTCTTTGGAGAAATCTTGTGAATGGAGTTTTCTTAAGATGATAGAATACGACATAGTATCGAACGCCTTCGAGAAATCTGCGAGAACAGCTATTGTGATTTCCCCTCTTTTCATAGCTCGCTGAATATCATCTCGCATTGCCAACATAACTGTCGTAGTGTTGTGACCTTTGCGGTAAGCACTAATGGATTGATTAAGTACTCCAGTGGTTGTATTGGTTACGAAATCAAACATTTGGTGCCCTTGTAGAATCAAACACTATTTAATTGCTATTTAATTCCTATTTTATTGGGCTATTTAATTCCTATTTGTCAAAGTATTTATTTCCTATTTTTACTATTATTTTTTTTCGAGGTTTTTCCTATTTAAATTGGGGTAGAAAAGCTATTTTTTTCCTATCCAAGTGGAACCATATTTTTTTCCTATTCATGATATATTTCTAAACAAATACTTAATTGATGTACTCCAATAGAAATTAAATAGGTTTCAAATATGATAAAAATAGACCTATTTAAGGAAATTATTAAAAATATATAGTTTTGACATAGTTAATAAATATGTATGAAATAGTTAAAACATAGTGACAATATAGGTATAAAATATGTAATAAATAGTTGAAATGAGTTTCAACTAAGTTTAAAATAGTCAATAAATAGTTGAAAAATAGTGATATTATAGTTTAAAAATAGATAATAAATAGTTCAAAAATAGTGACAACATAGTTTAAAAATAGATAATAAATAGTTCAAAAATAGTGATATTATAGTTTAAACATAGACAATAAATAGTTAAAAAATAGTGATAATATAGTTTAAAAATAGATAATACATAGTTCAAAAATAGTGATAATATAGTTTAAAAATAGATAATACATAGTTCAAAAATAGTGATAATATAGTTTAAAAATAGATAATACATAGTTCAAAAATAGTGATAATATAGCTTAAAAATAGATAATAAATAGTTAAAATACATCCCAGCTTGTCAAAAATAGCTAATAAATAGTGGATATAATATTGCCCAAATAGATTAAAAATAGTAATAACATATTAAATAAATA